GAAGGTGGAGCAGTTTTGCTATTGTCGATGTTGGGGACACGTCAAAGTGGAGATTTGTTAATGTGGCATTCGCCTTTTGTATAAGGGAGCCTTTCCCTTAGTTGCTTATTAATATAGTGGGCCTATGATGGAGTTAGGTGCACCAAATCAAGAGAGCATTAGTGGGCTATTTGGGCCTTTGGATCATTAAATCTTTTGTTTAGTCAAATATTTTTGGGCTCTCTTGTGTTTTAAGTATTAGGTGTTTTGAGTTTAGGAACACTTTCCTAAGGCATTTTTGTACTCTCTTCTTCATAGTAAAATATTACTCCTCCTCCACCCGTGGACGTAGGTCAATTTAACCGAACCACGTAAATTCTTGTGTTCCTATTTTATTTATTTTTGCTTTGTTATTTGTCATTTGGGAGTTGCCAAAAATCCTTTTGTCAATTTTTTGGGGCAAAACCTAACACTCGGGATTCTTGAAATGAAAATATGCAGATATGAATTCAGTGGCATGCTTTATTTTGGGTATTTTCTTTATTTCTGATGTGTAGGCAATTTGTACTTGCCCTTAAATGAATGAATTCGTTTGAGTATCAATGTAAATTTTCATTTATTTGCTCAACGACATCGTACAAATGTGTTTGGCACAATTACAACTCTAGATAAGGCTCCTTCAAGTGTGATCGGTTAGTACAGGTGGTGGTTAATCACCAGCTTCTTTATGTTCATGAAAGAGGGAAGAAAAAGCTAATGGAAGGAATTGTATGGTTGTAGTTGATGCTCTATAGTTTACTTGGTGTTTGCTAATTTTTCTTTCATAATATTTCTTCTTTCTGCCCTATTACACTAAAAGGAATTTTATTCACATCAATGAGGAATGCATAACAGCTGAAAAATGAATAGCCTTTAAAAAGTACTAACATATGCTGCTTCAACCATAGTAGCAGCATCTCCACATAAACTTTTCAAACACTGGAGAGCGTAAACAAATGTCTGGACCTGAATGGCTAGAATTAAACAAGTACAAGCTGGTGAACCTTAAATTGAAAAATTTTACATAAAATTTGTGGAATAAGTCCACTTCAAATCCCTGCCTCACTTGCCCTCCATCGTCAGATGATGAACATCTTTATCCAGGTCACCTGCTCACTTTCATTGAAGCTAAGGAACAAAGTATGGAACTCTTCATCTAGCAGCTCCGGCAACAAAAACATGTGTAGCCGTTTCTCCAAATTCAAGCCTTCAACAACCTTCTTGGCTACCTCCATTGAATACTTCTCCCTTGATTGTCTTTTGGTAGAAACAATGGAGGAGAACCTGTTGAAATTGCTAAGTGCCTCTTGGTAGTTGTCCGAACTAAACCTTCAGGACTTCAAAACTCTTGAACCCTCCTTTTCTGAACTGTGGGTGCCACTAGACATTGGTCGCTTGTTGAGATTTCTACAAATAGGGCGGATGATAGAAAATGAGTTGGAGGGTCAATGACTGAGGATGAAGCCACTAGATTCCCTCTTCCACTACACTCTCCACTTCGTCTCCATACTCGAGGGGGGCACATATTGGGGTAGAGGCCGCGCTGAGGATTGAGCTCGACTACCTGTGGCATGTTTGTCATCCATCACCTGGTCCCACTTCATTACCAAATCAGCACTATTCAGATGTTGCAAGTCTAGGTAGTACTTGTTCATCTTTACCGAACAAAAAATTGGTAAAAAAAATTAATGATGTGTTGAAGGTCTCGCAAATGCCTAACAAAAAAAAATAGAAGTTGCAAGTTCTACCATGTTGGAGACATATGCACATAAACATGGCATAAATAAAAGCTGACTAAGCTTGAAAGTTCCATTACACAAATGAATGATGTCCAGCTAGTCCATACTAAATACTGATAAATGTGCATGATGAAAAATGTATTATAAATAGTTTATACCTGGTACAAATATGCCCACTGCTCTAGTCCTGCTAAGAAACATTTATGTTGGGCATCCCACCCTATCCCTATCTCAGGCTTGGCCGAATCTCCCCAAAGATGAGTGAACAACCTTCACTTCTCAACCATTTGGTAGTACTTGGATTGACATTGAGTCCTAGTGCAAGTGACGCCACATTCTTGGGTCAAGTAGGTGGCCATTGCTGTGAAGTTGGCTAGCGTACTTCGAGTTGCCTCCCACTTGCCATTTTTCTGCCATTCTACGTAGGTGTGGACATAGAGCTCCTCCTTCCAGTCCAAGAAAAATCTTTTCTCAAACATCTGTGGACAAAATCACAAAACCTTAAGTACTTAGCTCCCTAAATGCACAATCTCTAAGTACAGCATACCAAGTACATCACAAGTCTCAACTCAAAGTAGTTTACCAAGCTAATTTCAAAGTCATTCGAGTCACAGATCGAATGGGAACTAACTTTTACAGAAAAGCTAGACGGGGTATCTGAGAAACAAAGGGGAATTGAGAACCCAAACTTGAGTATGAGAGTGTATATAAAAGGAAGCGGTAGGAACAGCTCAAGGGCTATGACATGTCTTACCAGTTTCTATACTTCGTTTCTTCGAATTGTTACTGGGCATGAACTCCTTGGCTTGCAAAAAAAAAGATTGGGTTGCCTTAAATGTGATGAAAACGGGGAGATGAGAATGGCCAATATAAGTTCATGAAAAAGAAAAACTTGAATGCCCTAAATGAATGAATTATGGATATAGCAACGGTGTTGGTGTCTATATGAGCACAAACAGAAGCACCAGTGTAGAGTGAAACGAAGAGAACAAAACCAATCATAGTAATAGTACTGCTCTAAGTGTATCACAAGTCTGAAAACAGGCCACAGATATGACAACAACTACATGAACCTATATGAGCATCGATGCTAAGAATTGATCTGGAGTTCTTTACACCGCCATTAGCATCACAGAAGGCAATTACAGATTCCAATTATTTCTTATAGTCACATTCTATGTAAAGTCCCAAAATGGCACTACTTTTGTTACAACTAAGACCTTTGAAGTGTACAAAACTTCAGAGGTACACTTTGTCATCCCAACACAGCAGCTGAATGAAAAGCATGTAAACCAGTTATGGCATAAGCCGTGCAACGGAACGTGATAGGAAATGTAATTTTAATGTGGCCATCACCAAACCCAATTGCTAATTGTTCATTCCAATAAAACAGTAGCATCCACACTTTGCCACAGTAAACATGGTAAAAAAAAAGTCATTTCTGTTACAGCAAGCTAGCATTTTATCCAATTACAAAAACACGAAAACAAGCCAATTGATACCTGGAGTTAATTGAATCAAGTGCAAAAGATTTCAGGAAAGATAGAAGGCCATAAAATTAAAAAAAAGGAAGTAATAGCGATGTGCACCTCACAATATATAGGATACGGGGGCAGGAGCGGTCGTCTGAACGGTCTCCTCACAATAAAAAATGTGATGAGACAAATGAGCCAAGTCAGCAAAGCTGAAGCAGGGCACAAAAACGATGCCGTTCAAAATAAAAAAATGTTGACTTCACCACGGAAGCAGACGGAGCAAACGGAAGAGAATTGGTTTTTGAAATTCAAGTTAAAATTTTGAATTAGCCGCAAAAAACAAAACTGAGGGAAGAGTCTTCATGTGCTTGTGAAGATAATCTACTCTGACCGACTGCTCACTGAAGGTAGAAAGTTGAAGTTCAGGTGGGATTCAACCTACTGGGTGTTTCTAGGTAAAGTGGGTGTAGTCTACTCTGATGAAGGTAGCAATGAACAGAAAAGTGGGTGGAGAGGCAGACGGCAAGGAAGAAGCAAATAGAGATGAAGCCAAAGTTTATCCGTAAAACTGAATAGCAGAAGCAGCTGTGGTCTTCAACTGGGTATAAGAGTGTTGTATGTATTCTGAATACGTGCAAGAACGGCGGTAAGGTAGAAGCAGACAGAGGAAATTCAGCATCTCACGAAGCCAAATTTTGTCCTTCAACTTAATAGCAGAAGCAGCTACGTCTTCGACTTCGGTGAAACGTGAAACGTATTAACAGACCGAGGTAACATGACTAAACCATGTCAGTAACTGTGGCCAATAATTTGTCACCTAAATGCACATCTGTTAAATGAAGGATGAAATTAGAGTCACTGAAGACATAATATGAAGATGATAGAAGAATAGTGAAGTTGTACTGTATTTGTATGTGTGTACCGTATCTGTGTGTGTATGAGCATTCAGCTTTTCAGTGATGGACTATAATGGTATAGTAGTTTTTGGAAGATCTAGGGGTATGTATTCAAGTAAACCGTCGATCGGAATTAGGGAAAGATGAGAGAAACAAAATCACATTTAACAAGTGAATGAATATACATCATGTTGTAAATTAGTTACATGTTATAGCCACCGTATTACAATTAATATGAATCATTGTGCATCTAGTAATTGGTCCATGCTTATGGAGCAATATTAGTTTGCCCCACTCCTGACCATGCAGTGTGTATAAAATGGAGGCGTAGAGCTGAATGAGGTGAAGTAGAGGAAAAGACATATATGTGAATAATAAATGGGTGAACCATGTGTTGTAAGTAAATTACATGATGTAAGAAATATATTACAATGAGTAGAAAGTACTTGTTTGGCCCTCAAAATGTAGAAATAGTAGAAAATGTGGAGTTGGCTTATGCGGTTGTCATTAACGAATAACATAAGGTCCAATGAGCTAAAGAACCTAGAATCAAAATATAATCACCAGCGTGGATGTACATACAATTAAAATAGACTTACATCGTGTGACCAATACATTACAGTCTGTATAAGTTAGTGTACATGGAGTTGTATTTGTACATAGATAATGCCATTGTCTTAGAGTAAAAGTAAAGTGATGTGAATCATTAATCATAGTGATAAGCGTAATAATAGGATTTGGTATACGAGTAATGTGTCATTCATAACACATTATGAATGGTAATATACATTTATATTGTTGTTTATGTACATACTATTCATGAAGTGTTGCAAATTAGGGTGTTTGATGCATAATTGGCAGGAGCAGAAGTAATGGATTGCAGCAAATTGGCAGAAGATGGGACCCCTGAATTAGGAATGGAGTTCAACAGTGAAGAGGATGCGTACAAGTTTTACAACAAGTATGCCTTTAAAATGTGTTTCAGTGTACGTAAAGACTATCTGAATAAAGACAAAGACGGTATGACCACGTCTAGGAGATATAGTTGCTGCAAGGAATGTGTGAAGCGCAAGTACGAAAGTGATGTGATGCCAAAAAGGACACGAGCGCCGATGAAAACAGGGTGTGGAGCTAAAATGGTTATCGTGTTGTTTAGAGGGACAATGAAGTACCGTGTGCATGACCTTGTCTTAGAGCATAATCATGAGTTGCACATTACTCAATGTGCGCAATGATGCCATCACAAAGAAAAGTAAGTGTGGCTCAAGGATTCCAAGCTGAAATAAGCGAGAATGCTGGACTTTCATTGAAACAGAGCCATGACCTTATGGGAAAGGAGGCAGGTGGGATGGGTAATGTGGGATATACTCGGGATGATCTTAAACGATATCTTCGAACAAGACGGGAAAGGAGCTTGAAATATGGAGAAGCAGGTAGCATGCTGAATTATTTTCAAGAGCAAACACTCGAGAATCCATCCTTTTTTCATGTCGTACAGCTGGACTGTTAAGAACAAATAATGAATATCTTTTGGGCTGATGCAGGAATGTTAATTGACTACAACTTTTTTGGAGACGTAGTCACATTCGACACATCCTACAAAACAAATAAAGAATATCGGCCACTTGGAGTATTTGTGGGTTTTAACCAGCATAGGCAAATTGTGATATTCGGTGCTGCCCTTATGTATGATGAGACGATAGATTCTTTCAAATGGATATTTGGTACATTTTAGAAGCAATGTGCGGAAAGCGTCCAAGTACCATACTAACCGACCAAGATCACGCCATGGCAGCCGCTCTTTCAGTTGTCATGCCTGAAACATTTCACGGTCTATGTACGTTTCACATAAGGCGTAATTTTATGAAACATCTTGGCAATCACAACAAGAAAAATAGTGATCTTCCATACATGTTTGGTGCATGCATGTATGAGTTTGAAAAAGTGGAACAATTCAATAGGGTGTGGGAGGCGATGGTGAAGAAACACAATCTTAAAAATAATGAATGACTCTCCGGGTTGTATAGAATTCGTGATAAATGGGCAAAGTGCATGATGAAAGAAAGATGGATTGCGGGAATGCGAAGCACCCAACTTAGCGAAAACCTTAATGCAGCAATTAAAAATCATTTGAAACTGGATCATGACCTTGTGCAGTTCTTTAGACATTTCAATCGGGTAGTTGATGAAAAGAGACATAATGAACTGATCGCAGAATATGAAATGAGGTAAAAGCTCCCCATGGTAGGGTTAAGGCAAACACCTATGCTTGTGCATGCATCAGAGACGTATTCACCAACCGTATTTGTTGCATTCCAAAATGAATATGGCGAGTCAACAGCTATGGTTATATTGAGACAACAAGATGCAGCGATGTTTGTGAAGTTTACGGTCATGAGGTATGATGGAGGACCTGAAAGAATAGTGGTATTCAATCGGAATGATCTAAGTGTACATTGTAGTTGCAAAAAATACGAGAATGAAGGCATTTTATGTGGGCATGCGTCGAAGGTGTTTGATACTGTGGGCATAAAAATAATTCCTCCTAAATACGTTAAGAGGCGATGGACAAAAAGAGCTCGGGCTGGAGACTGTTTTGATTGGCGAGGACGGGAAGTTGTGGCTGATCCTAAAGTAATGATTTCAACTCGTTATCGGGAGCTCGCTCCAACCATGATTAAGGTCGCAACTCGAGCAGCAATGTCGGAGGACACCAGCAAAGTAGCAATCACTGTCATATCTGATTTGGCAAAGAGAGTTGAACTCCTCCTCTCAGAAAGCGAAGAGCAACCTTTGCAAAATAAAAAAAATCTGAATATGGAGGAACGGGATAAAATTGAAATTGTAAATGGAATGGGGGAGGCAGTAGTCGCAAGAGGCATTAAAAACGAGGCAGTGGGAAGAAAAGTAGAGTAATGCGAAGTTGGGTCAATAAATTTGACAGAGTAAAAAGAAAATCTAGATTATCGAGAACTACACAGACTACAGTATGAATCAAATTTTGGTACTTGGGGAACATTTATGCTAAAACTAAGTTATCGTTATACTATTAACTAAAGTTTAGGTACCATTCATTATGAAATAATATTATTGCCGTGTCAATACTGTAGGTCTCAGAATCGGAGCCGACATCGATTTCATTTGAGGAATACATGTTTATGGGATGCCGTTCATCTACTGACTCTGTTTCGGTTAGTATAAAATGGACATGACTCTTGCTTTTATTTGGATGTTTCTAACAGCATAAATAGTTACATTGATGTTACATTGTGTGATAATATTGTTACGGCCGTCATCCCTCCTGATATACCTATTTTGTTTGTCTTATACAATGATTTTGCCCATACGAAACTCGTAGACGCATTCAATGAGCCAGACAATGAATGGCCCTCCAAACACTGTTGCTCCCGATATCGATGAAAGTCAAACGGTATGCATATATTTAGTAGTTAAAATAAAGACCTTCTTGTTCGTGTAGTAGAGTTACTTTTTTTTCTTTAATTGTAATGGTGGGCACCCGAAAGCTGTCAAATCATGCAAATTATGTAGTTAACGTATGCTCGCTTTAATAACATATTATTTTTTATTATTCCAAGGTCCACCGTTTGGCTAATCAGGAGCCTCCTGCAAATGTCCCTACAGAATGGATGCATCCCAGATTTTCTATTTTTTCCAATCATAACTCCGTCAGAGATGTCTTAATGGTCTGATATATCATTTTTGTTATAATGTCTAGTCTAATTTAACTTTATAAGTGAGCAATATAGGTACTGGTAATGATTTGTTAACAGTCGATTACTTATACCATATAATGTAGGAGGAGCGTGGGACAATTTCAACACACTGTGATGTTGATGCATATCATGTATTTGCACTATCACCTCAGGTGACAAACTTTTATCGTTACAGCAAATATTTATGTAATGTTATTAATTAGAGACTTGGATATCGTATATCATTAATCGTATGTTTCATTAATAATATTTGCTGATTTGCCATCGTTACGCATTTCAGGGAAGAAATAACACCCAGGGATTGCAATTACGCGTTGATGTCGCTTCCCCCGAGAGTGAGGTTGATAAATGATATGTAACTATACTTTTTGAACGACACATTAAGTGGTTGTCCCAACTTGGGAATGCTGCATATGTACGTTACAAGCAATTAATAAGCTGTTACAACTTATTGACGAGGTTGTACAGGCGCCATTGATGGACCCTCTTTTCAGATTTGGACAAGTGGATTACAATTGTAATCGCATCTAGTGTTAGTAGTCATCAATAGTTTGTATTGGGTTGTATAAACTTGTTAGAAAATTATAAAGTTGGTAGAAAATTGAAGTAACAATTTTACAATAGAATTGAACGTGTTTTTTGTGATCGGATATTTTTTCCTAAATCGACCATAACAGTTAAATGGCTATCGTGATATGTATACCATTCTACTACATTCAATTGCATACCTTAATAACATATTTATTGGTATAGATCGCACCGCCAAAGGTACGATGTATAAGATAACACAATCTAAAGTATAAATTGTCTTGATTTTGTTACGATGCTAAATTCGAATTATTATTGGGCTATTTTTTATAAAAACATTATCATTTAGGCCATTTGTTTTGGATCGCTTGACGAATTTAGCGCACCATTAACATGATGTATCACAGGCACATCAATTGGTATTACAAGTTTTTAGGTTAATTGAATTACGGTCAAGCCAGGTCACGACCACATGTTGGTAATAGGTGCACATAAGAAAATGATTTCTTGGAGAACTAATTTGTAACATTAAAACGAAGTTTTACAATGCAACAGAAAGGAAGAACGAACAGTACACAATGGGTTACAACCAGTTAGGGATATGTTACTATTGCATTACAACTAGTTACGACTATTTAACAGGCATGATTAATATCCAAATATGGTAAGCAATTTATTTGAGTAGAGATTATAATGAGTATAGTTTTATCGCTACCCTAATGAATATTGGACTACATCCCTTGTTATCAGTTGTATCACATACAACACCTGGGAACGCCGTCATGCATTAGACAATGGGGTATGTACCTTTAAAAGTCATCGTCGCTTGATTCAGTAAAGTCAAATAGGTCCGGATCGGATATAAGCATGGGATCTGCTAAAATATGCTGAACATCAAAATGTTTTCCAACACCATGTCTTTTTGCGGCCTGGATCTCGTGGAACCTGTGAAGCCTACGCTCCATCTGCATAACTTCTCGCTGTAGTCTATGTAATACGCTTGCATCATTGGCTTGTGGTCCTATAACAAGATCTGCTGATCTTGTTCTCGGGACGCGGAGGCCATGCCAACGACAAAATACCTCTAATTCCATTCTTCGCTCACGAGCGGGCTCCCATATGGGTTCATGGTCCATAACGAAATAGCCAGACGGTAGATGATCGTTGACGGTATTTTTAAAAATGTGACCAGCTAGTCCCAGAGAGTTGTTGGTGTTAAGTGGAGCGTTTCTGAACTCGTGTTTGGCACCATATAAAATCCTCCCGTTTGGTGTTTCGTACTTGCTTATGGCATTTGTTGGACCCAACGATACTTTCCGTCTTTTTTGCCGAACATTTGATGGTGAGCTTGTATGAGATCCTTCGTTTGTGGATTGCATGACTATGCTAATACCTACTATTTTTTGGTTGGATGAAAGGAAGGATCTACTGATAAAGAATTAGGTGGGAGAAAAAAAGATGTAGAAATTTTTTACGGAGCACCTATTTCAGACCATGCATAGTAAATGGTTTCTTCTGGCAACTTGACCAACTGCTTGCTGTGTTATTTCATGTTGTTCTCCACAAGATAGTACCCCTGGGTGAGTAGATGAAGGCATGGCAGCCACCTATTAACGAGAGAATAGACTAAATGTTTGGTCAAAAGTATAGTGTGTTGATGAAATAATGATTCAATTCGATTGGGTCATGACCTGTACTCCAACAACAATTGGGTCAGGTGAATACCCAGTTATACATCAGTCACCTTACTTTTCATATGTGACAAGAAGTTACAACCAGCATATTTACGTTACAAGAAGTTAATAAGCCGTTACCGCTTATTGATGTGCTTGTACAGGCACCTTGTCATTTGCCTGTATGTTAAAACTTAGACAATTTGTTTACAATTTTTTTTACATGAGTATTACAGATAGTATTACAGGCACTTCAATAGGTATTACTCCTTCAGTACAGAAATGAAGTTACAATTGGCG